GAGCCACTTTTCCCACTTTTTCTTCAATTCCGTCTTTATGTCAGTTTGCACCTAACAAACACAATCAATGGCGGATTCAGCACCCGATGAACCGGCGCGGCCGCCCCATATATATGTTTTGTACAAACATTCAATGAAAGGGTGTGCAGATCGTATAGTTGCGTGTTCGCTTTTGCATCCAAGATACACATGTTCGATCTCCTTCAAAGGCACTCTTCTTTTTAATTTTTAAACTCAGCAGATAATAATTAAATATTAATATATAATTGTATTAACCTTTAGCAAAAATGAGGGTAGCTCATATAGTAAAGGGGTCGCTTTGAATGTATGAGGTTTGACGTTCAATTCCATGCCCATCCACTCTTTTGTTTAATTTTTTGATATAATAAATAACAACTAAACAATTATACATTATTATTTTTCATTTTCCAAATAATTTCTTTAAAAAGTTTATTGTATTATTAAGTTTAATCAATTTATTTTATAAAATTCAAATTGGGGTAAAAAAAAAAATTCTAATTCTAAAAATCATCGTTTTCAAAATTTTGCATAACCTTCGCCTAAGCTTGGGACTTGTATTTACCGTTCAATTATACTTTACGTATAAAATTCATCTTGTATTACTTAAGTTTGTAAAAAAACTTCATCATACATATATGATTGAAAAATGTATTTATTATTATTATTATTTTGGGTTGTATTTGATTATATTTTCAAATGTATATAACTCTTACATTTTCGTACATTTATATATAGATTAAAAATTTTAATATTATTTAATTATATATTAACAAACAATCTTACTATTGCGATGCCAACGATTAACGACCGTCCTACCTCACTCAATATTCTGGATCCGTCATCGAACACAATACACATAGAATTAAGTTATAACTCATCAAAATAATCAATAAATACTCTAACTTAGATGCTCAAATAAGTGTACAAAATACACTTATCAGCTAACATTTCAAGTTATAAGTTTTTTTTAAAAAAAAAACATAATGATGATGCATTATTTACGTACATTATGGACGCTCACACATGTGAGATTAAAAGGTTGTTGTCAAGTACAGTGTCGAGGAGGACAAAGTGTAACTATTTGATATTCACTTCAAGAAAATATAAGAGTTTGTATATGCATTTACATGCAAATGAAAAATATCTATCTATTATATTGGTGCAGTTGCTATCCGAGAATTTAAATTTATGAATTATTCGATAAAATTGGAATGATATATAGAGAAAGATAAAATTGCCGATATCTCAATGAATGGAACTGTACGTCGTCTGTCTTGTCTAAAATCACAACCAACTCAATTAATTACGAAATTTACACGTATGCGCCACCTTCCCACAGGGCGGAAGGGGAGTTGATAGCTTGACTAATCAGGGTTTAGGGGCACACGCATATGCATGGTATGGTGGAGGAAGACAAGAAAGCGATGCTGCCCATTATATATCAAAACTTTGATTGACATCGAACCCCACCATGCACGGTGGATCTATGGACAAGAAAATGGATTTATCATCTATTTTCCACGGCGTTTGCCACCACTGCTTGCAGATTTCCACAGCCACTTGTGTCGTTTATTGCACTTTTGGTAGCACATAATGTGAGTCTGTAGCCCTGCTCTGTGGTCCATTCCCTCCTCTTACCCTAACAAATCTAATCTCGTCTTATTTTTTGATTTGATCTATGTTTCTTATGATGTGATAAAAAGATGGTTGTTGACTAATAATGCAAATAATCCAAAATTTCTTGAGAAAAAGATTTTGTTGCTGTTTGTCCAATAAATACAAACCTAGTTTAATTCAATTATTATTCCATGAAAAATGATATATCCTAAGCACCAATGAAATTATATATCAATTCATTATCCATCAATAACTTGATATGTCATGTCATCGTAAACTATTTCTTGTTATTCTATACGTGCTGTGCTGTAAGTGCTAACTTAATTTTTTTTTACAACAAAATTGTTACGGCCTATAAGTCCAATCACGCATCTTTATAATTTGTATGCGGTTGCTCATTTTTCATCTTACTGTAGTATTACATCGAGAGAGATCGAAAGTAAGAACATGAATCTTTAAAATGTTAATCGTTAAGATTCGATATTTCAGGACAATTATGAACCATTGAAACAATTCGTTCACCATCATCGTCGTAAATATATGTCTATGTTTGGTGGAGATTAAAATTAGATTTTTAACATATTTTGATAAAAGTTGATGAAATGTATGATTTAAAAGTTGTAGATCCCATAAAATATGTTTTAACTTTAATTTAAATTTAAATTACAAAATTTGTTGACTATGCCAAGCAAATGACAGATTAATGTTATATGCTTTATCTGTACTTAATGACAGGAACGAAATTCAAGGTAACATTCCACATGTTCAAAGTCAATTTATGAAGCTGCAATTAGAACCTCGCCCCCAGTCTTTGACTCATTGAACAAAATTTGTAAGATGGTTATTTTGGATGGTGTCAGTGTTTGTATCACGTGCTCCGTTTGAAAAAAAGAAATTAAACGGTAGTTGGATCTTTAATTAAAGTATTCAAATAAGGGATAAATCTATTCTCATAATATTGATCGACAAAAAGTACAATTAGAGTATGTGAACGGCTAAACATGTATGGTGCAGATTTTCTTTATGTTTACATCCACCAACTCATCGTCTATTACAAATGAAAGTCTATAATCGTTATTGAGTCTCACTCGTCTAATAAAAGTCAACAATAACGGTTAATTTTTCAATTTTAATCTCTACTGAACACGTCCTATGTGAGCTCTAACGTTGACCTCGAAATTTGTTGGTCGAGGTGTGCTAAGAATATCATCTCAATGTTCATATCTTGTAATCAAAGTTGGAGTTATGTCCATGTTGACCGTATAATTACTTGGTCAGTCAATCATGTGAAGTTTGTAATCTTTCAAAAAAGTACCATATCGTTCCAAACCAAAATCATTTGATCAATATATATCGTGCAATCTAATAGTTCAAAGTCAATATGTGCATCATTTCTTCACGCTCCTAAATAATCAAATAGATGGATGAGATAGTGATAGCCCATTAATTGGAAGGCAACATGAACCGTGACCGTCAAAGTTTGAGATGCACATATATAGTACACATGTACCTATAATGTGACAAATATGTCCCAAGAGGAGAAAAAGTTGTGTCCATTACTTTCTATTGAAATGTCACCAATTGGCTTAATACTTATCCTAGTAAACATTATTACTTGAGATAAAATGATGACTATCTTCGACGGGCCTTTCTCTTAAATCAATAACGTGTTAATCTAGTAGTCATCAAAGTCACAAAGGACTACTAAATTGATTCATATCTATTGCCGTCTTGCTTTAATCTGTAGGGGTACAGTTTGGAGGTGTTTTAGTTCATTAACTTGCTGTAATAGTTATTAACTTATGATGGGATTGGCAATCAGATGAATCGAAACCTATTTCGATCTGATCAATATAGTTAGATCGGTGCACAATTGAACCGTCAATGGTCCGTTTGAATCGACCCGATTTTTCTCAAGCCTGATGAACCTGTTGCTACTAGTCGGTTTTTCACAAAATTTCCATAGGTTTTTTATTTTTATTTTATTTTTGTAAATTCACAGAATGTGAGTACATAATTTCAAACAAAGGACCCCATGCTTGCGAAGTCTTTTCAACTAGGTTATCCCAATATCTGATACAGTTGTTTTATAATATCTCATACTTACTTTTAGATTATATTTTTCAAAAACACTTTAAATATTTATTTGTATTTAAAAAAATAAGTCGAAAAAATATTTTTAATGATATAGAACTGAAAAATCACGTAATATTAAAAACTTATAGATTTTATATTTAAATTTTAAAACGAGAAAATTTGAGATTTTATATATTTCAATTAATAAATGAAAATTTAATTTAGAATCTATTTTAATTTTTAAATTTATAGTTAATCTAAATCTTTTTCAAAAAAATTCATCCCACAATGATCCGTCGGTTGAATCAGTGATATACTAAGTAAAGTTGGTGTTTTCACAAGGTCAATGATTGAGTCGTATATGATAACTATGTTTGCTAATCAAAATTTAATATTAATTATATAATTGATAATCAAAACCAATTTAAAGACTTGTGTTAAAAAAGTGTACTCCGTTTGTCCCATAAAAATGTTATTGTTTTCTAAAAATGAAAATAAATCTATCTTCGTGGGACGGAGAAAATATAACATAGTTTAAATTTTGATCTGTTCCAACGGTGCCTGCATAAATTAAGAACCATGCTACAGTGCTCGCGTGGTTGACCGCAGGAATAACCGCACACACATAGGAGGGGGTCGGATTATTTTATTCGGGGATGGGACCCGCGCCGAGGCTATGAGTGTGCGATCATCCCAACGGTCACCGGCGCGGGTCGTTTAGCATTACTTATAAATTAATGAATACTCCCCGCTGGCTCTTACCAAGCAACCCCAACTCATTCAACCTTTTTCCCCATATTTTTTTCATCACTAAAGACACTCAACAAATCAACTCCTTATACCAGTTTTTTGAACGTTATTTTCACCTAATTAAATTAATTTCAGCTTCAATTCACTCATTGACTGCTTCTATTAAGAGTACCGTTGAACCCACCTTTGTAATAATTATCTGATTAAGACTTAATTAGTAAAATATTAATCATGTTCAGCGTAATTAGTAAAAAATTAATCTGTCACTGCCATTAATTCTTCAGAATAAAATAAAATCTGAGAGTGTGCCCCCACCCCACTACTCTGCTATAAATTCATCTTTTTCCTTATTTTCACTTCAGCGTTAGCTTCACTCCATCTATCAACTTTAACACTTTCTCCAACTAATTAATTTCACACACACAAAGGAGCCATTTTATTGTGTGAAGTTTCTTGCAAAGTTACGAATCAAGAACCGAAAGGAGAGAAATTCTTAGCCTTTTTCATAGATTGAGATTGAAAGTACAAGTACGAGAATGGTAGACGTGGACAGGAGGATGACCGGTTTAAATCCGGCTCACATGGCCGGTCTACGCCGCCTTTCCGCCAGAGCCGCGTCCTCCGCTCCCTCCACCCCACTACCGCCGCGCAACAGTCTTCTATCCTTCAGTTCCTTAGCAGATAAAGTTATCAACCATCTCAAGAATTCGGGCATCCAAGTCCGGCAGGGGTTATCCGAAGCGGAGTTTGCGTTAGCGGAGGCGGAGTTTGGGTTCGCCTTCCCGCCGGACCTCAAAGCTGTGCTATCGGCTGGTTTGCCTATAGGACCTGGCTTCCCCGACTGGCGCTCGTCTGGTTCTGCTCGCCTGCAGCTCCGCGCCTCCATTGACCTACCAATCGCTTCCATTACCTTTCACATAGCACGGAATGCTTTGTGGTCCAAGTCCTGGGGTCCGCGCCCATCCGATCCGGAAAAAGCCCTTAAAATAGCACGAAACGCACTCAAACGGGCCCCTCTTCTGATACCCGTTTTCAACCATTGTTACATTCCTTGCAACCCATGTTTAGCTGGAAACCCCATATTCTATGTCGACGAAACCAGAATTTTCTGCTGTGGGTTTGATTTATCAGACTTTTTCGACAGAGAATCTTCACTGTTTCAACGCCCAGAACCGAATATTCTATCCAAGCAACGGTCAATGAGTGAAAAATCAGCCGGTTCATCAACAAATTTTTCAAGAAGAAGTCTTGACACAGTTTTCGGCGGAAGAACTCCAAGATGGGTGGAGTTCTGGAGTGACGCAGCCATAGATCGCCGTCGGAGGAACTCAAATTCGTCATCCTCTTCTTCATCATCACCAGAAAGGTACTTCGAAATGCCAAGATCCAAGATCCCCAATTGGGTTGAGGAATACGTGACTCAAATTGGATCAGTCCTCAAAGAAGGCGGGTGGGCTGAATCAGACGTCTCAGAAATTGTACACGTGTCAGCATCCGGGTTCTTCGAAGGCGAGATGGTGATGTTGGATAACCAAGCGGTACTTGATGCTATGCTACTGAAAGCGGATAAATATTCCGATTTGCTCCAGAAATCGGGGTGGAGCTCGGAGGAGGTTTCAGATGCATTAGGGTTTGATTTCAGACGAGAAAAGGAGAAGAAACCGGTAAAAAAGTTGTCGCCGGAGTTGGTCGAAAGAATCGGTAAACTGGCTGAGTCGGTCACCGCACGATCATCATCAACGTCATAATTAACCGATTCTTCATTTTAAGTTTTCAAAGCCTCGTGTTTTTTGTTGTAGTCTGTAAAACGGGATGGTATGGTATAGAAAACGTTAAGAAAGTTGATTACTATACACATAATAATAACTCAGTCAAATTAGAAAAATGATACTAATAAATAATTTGGGTACTTTTGTTGATTAGCAAATATTGATTCATGATTTGGGTCCCCAATTGTGTTTTTGGGTTTTTTAACGTGAGATTGTCGAAGCCCATTTGTTGCATTTGAGAGATTACATCGTTTTTCAAGAGTTAAAAATCCATTCTTGATTGATGAATTCTGCTTTCCTTTCTTGTTTTCCTGTAATTTAAAAAGTTTATTAATTCAAGTATTTGGTTTTTACGTTGTTTGTTGGGGACAGAGATTTTGTTCTTGTAAATCGAAAATTATTAATGCTATACAGCTAAAATTTTGTTTTTGTTTATATAGTTATATTAAGGCCCTGTTTGGTTCACATTATTTTTTCATTCTTATTCTTTTACTCATTTTCAACCACACATTTTTCAATAAAATAATATTTTCTATCACATCAATAACATTTCCTTCATTTTTAACCACACATTTTTCATCAATCTACTATTCAATAATACATTCTTTTGACTTTCAAAAGAATGTGTCCCAAACACACTGTAAAATTGTTGTCTCATTTTATTTTATATTTTTTAATCTTTTTGAGACAATAAATTTGTAGCATTACGGTGGATGGTATCGAAATCGAATCAGTGGTAATCGCACGTGTGCTTCTTTTTTCGAGAAAAAAAAGACGTTAGGTGGGTCCCAAAATGGGAACCTGAGAGCTTGGTGCGCTGGGTCGTGGGACAGTGCCAATTGCTTTCGAGGTAAGCGACACCCCACGGCGTCGTTTGTATGATAAATCACTCACTCAGGCCGCAGTAGGCCCAGATTGGCAATTTGCTTGTTAAGAGTTAACGTTGTGTTTTTGGTTGGCACAAAATTGAACGAGAGACTAATTTTTTGTGTTTTTATTTTAAGTTTTAAAATCCGATTTACTTAAATTTGAATCTTAAACCCATAAATTATGTCTCAATGCGGTTGCAACTTATATTTTGTACTTTTAACTAGTGTTCTAAAATGCGCGTTTAGACGTCGTTTAAGAAATATTTGCGACGAAAACGCCAACTATTTAACGGTCAACGGCAAGCCTATTTTTAAAATTTCTTTTACAATTCTTTTAAATTATAATTTAAAGGTTGATTTACATTTAAAACTTATCTTTTAGTCGGAAATTTTTGAAAAAATGTATAAAATTTCTTTAAATCTGTTTTAAATGTTTGACAGATATTATTTTTAATTATTAAATGATTTTTTGATTGATTAAAAATTAAAATAATGTTGTCTAAGCTTGCATTGCCCAAAACTTGGACTCCACACATCGCCACTCAATTTGCGATTTTAAAATACCGCTTTTAACATAAGATTTTTCACGTAATGTGTGTCATTTGTTAAGGGGAATTTATATGGCTGCATAGATTCTTTGTCTGAGAATCCAAGTCTTGAGTTACCACCCTGATGACAAGAAGATTTAACTACTTAAAATAAATTATAAATTAGCATTTGTGTAATTATAAATAAGATTTTGAAACTTAGGGTCTGTTTGGTGAGCTTTTGAAAAGTCAAAAATTACTTCTATAAAAGTAAAAAGCTTCATTTGAACATATTTGAACAATTTTCTAAATATTTCATTTGACTAGAAAGAGGTATTAAGGGAAGTCGAAGAAGTTCTTTCCTAAGAAGTATAAGCAAGAAATGGAAGAGAGTAAAATAGATATCGTTCCCACGAGAACTACTATCTAATAATTGATTAAATTATTCCGACTTTAATTTGATCGAAATCAAATAATAATATATGTGATCGTTGTCTAATTATTCTAACTAAACTAAATTATCTAACGTACTCAATTTATCGAATTTGAATTTTAAAAATATAAACATGGAAGTTAGGACTTACAATTTTACATATGGATCCCCTTTAATTTGTCAATCAAGTTTCATTACTATTATAGTGTTCAGTCGAATTCTTCTAAAGTATTCGATTTGTCTATCTCGAGTTCTCATTAGGTATATTTAACTAATTCAATTTCATATCTCTTTGTGAATTAATCTTAGTTAAACAAAATATTAGTTTTAAGAATTCATCTAATGACTGCAATTATTAGTATATATATCTCTACTCGTTATTAAATTACCGAATTTTATTATGTGGTCTAAATCTAAAACTCACATCTCAATTTGTAATAAATTTACAAAATCATTAAATAATTGACCAAAGAATTCGAAATATTAAATTCATGAATAAAATCAACACGTATGCATTTAAAGAACTATAATCTTGAACAAAAGAAATAAATTGGTCACACATAGATTACATTGTCCGCCCTAACTATGAATTTATGTACTCATAATAATGAAAGAAAAACAAAAATTATAGAATTCATAACCGGGTTTTGAAATCTTGATCATTGAAAGAATTGAATCTTATATCAAGAATCTTTTTCAACCTCAAAAGTATTCAAACTCTAGTTTTTGCTCTTTGATCTTGAAAATTATGTGCTCTTCTCCCCTAAATTGTGTGGAACTCTCTCAAAAGTGTCAAAATTTTGTATTTGTACTCTTTCCTATGTTTGTGCCCAATGCATGGTTTTTATGAGTTTCAAAACAGGCTAAAAACGCGCCCTAGATAGACCAACGCGACGCCTCTACGCCATGAGAGTGGCACCATGGCGCCTCGAAGACAGCATGGTGGTGCCTCTCGGGAAAATTTCAGTGTTATACCTCCTTTATTATTTTTATCATAACTTTCTTTCCCGATATCTAATTGAGGCGATTCAAATTAGGTTATAAAGATAACTCAACAGGCTACAACTTTTTCAAAAATAGTTATTTTTCAATTCGAACGTTTACTAGGCAAAAAATGGGTCTCAATTTTTGGCTGAAAATCTGAAATATCTTTGTGCGGTTGAAAATAGATCTGTGAAAGTATTTTTGTCATATTTCATTCATTTTGACTTCTAATTGCATCCAATTGACTCCTAGTATTCTTAAATCTTCATTGTGAGCTTTGACACAACTTTTAAGTATTTACACTTTAACCCCAAACTTTGAATCTTACCCCCTTTTTTCGCCAATTTTCATTTCTTTATTTCAAATTCACTTCCATTAATCAAGTTTCACCTAATAACACATTGTATAATAAATTAGATTATAATTCCATTAAAAGAATTACGAAATGTTAATATTTTAGAATCCGAATAAGTGTATAAAATACGTTTACAAAAAATGGATGGAAATCTCTTCTTTTAAGAACGTAAATGAGTTGAGACAAATGAGAAAGAGACATGGATGGATGTGTTATATTATCTTTTTGCCTGGGAATTTGTAAAGGGGAAAGAAAATGTTGGTTTGAGCATCCAAATCCAATGCAGATAACAAGATGATACCTGACAGACACCCTAAACTTCTTCCCGTTTAGCTTTTGGGAGACACAACACCACAACGAGGTGCTCATCTAATGTGAAAGCGATATTTTATTTTCTTATTCACTTCTTATTTTTTGCTTTTTTATAGTAAATATGGATTAAAAAAAATCTTAAAAGAATTAAAAAACAAAACTTTATTTATTAATACAATTTAATTCAATTCTCAATTAGCTTTTATTCAATTTGTGCCGAATACTCATCTACGTCCACGGATCGAAAATAGGGGCAACGTGATGTGAGGCCCAGTCAGTAGTTTCCGTACAGTAAGATGCGTGGGGAGCATGTGATATTAAACTTGTACTTATAATCTAAAAAATAGTGACTGGTCCTGTGGAGGCTTTCACGCTTTCAAATCTATACACACTCTTAAAATAAGTTGGTAAAATGGAAACATATCGATTTATTTTCTCAAGCATAGCCAAACACGCTTAATAAAAGTTAAAATATTCTTAATCAAAACTGGTTTGGCTTTTAGCCTTTGAAATTTTGCCTGTGAGGAAGGACTCAGCCGGCCAAGTGCACATGGCAGGTACAGAACGCGGTCAGAATTGCAGCAACGGTTCTTCAAATTTGAATGCAACTAATTTTTGATTCAAGGAATCTGACATCACAATATCTTTTTCTTTATTCTTGTTTATATTTTCGTGTCATGAATTTTCCTTCGCACTTTATAGTTGACAGTACTTCCGCCGTAAAAAAAAAAATCCAATCCCGCAAAGGGGTGAGATTTTTGGGTCTTTGAGAGACATCTTCCCTTTCCAAAAGTTAATCTTCAATCGCTCATTTCATAATTCTGTTTGTAACTAATTGTTGGTCTAGTATAGTGAATCAATTGAAGTCTTAAAACTAGTTTACTAGCATATTACCATGTACTCTAATGAATCGCTTCGAAGGCCTACTCCATAGAAAGGTGGCACCTAGTCTCGAAAGTAATACTTGTCATCATTTCAGTCAAGGCACCTCAATCACCTCGCCTAGCTGCCTAATCATTTTGGAGAAGTTTAGGAGGGACGAGATAATGTAGAGTACGGACCTTACATGCTTTCTTGCTTTTACTTTAGTTGTCATGTCGCATTTCAGTAGGACAAAACGCAAATAGTACTTATCTTCTATCTGTCCCAATTTTGTTTCGGCTCGTGATACAATCCATATGCACCCGCCAAATTCTTAGAGAAGAAAGCAAAGAAGTAGGACCCACTAGAAGCATCCAAGTGCCAAAGCCATTGGTACTTTTTTTGGTTCTTGCCGGATTACAAAATAACGATCAAGGAGCCTCTTCAAAAAAAGGGTAAATTCTTTAGGAGTAAAAGGGATTATAAGTTGAAGAATCATTTGTAAATCTAACCTTTGTACCCCATTTTTAGCCAAATGTTCCGTCCTTTTTCAGGCGTAATCATATATTTCAAGAGTTTGCATCTTATATCTTGAGAGGGAAGCCTATGAAAAAGAGGCTTTGCATTCAACATATCTTTCAAAGTCATAATTATCAATGTCTTAAAAAATCGTTCTAACATTGATTTGAGAAAAATAAGAGTCAATAGTGAAAATGGTAGTAAAAAAAAAAAAAAAAGTGCTTTTCAAAAAATGTAGAGATTTCGCCTAATTTTCTATGCTTTTAACTATTTTCACATTTACCTTGTTTGTAATTAATTTGAATCTGGTTCTTGTTATTCCTAATCGAACTGGTTCGGTTCTTATAGAATTGATGATTATATTTTAAATAAAAAAAAAGGTTAAATTTTAATATAAGTTGATGAAATGGGTGGTCGAAAAGTTGTGAATTTCATAAAATATGAGATTAAAATTAATTATTTACAAAACATGGATGTGAAATTTTATCCTTAATAAACTAACTTGGAATATATTCAAAGCAATAATTAAAGAAAGAGTGGCGCTGGTATTAGCAAAAGAGAATCAAATCGAGAGCTATGAAGACTTGAAAATTTGGAACAAAAACATAGACCTAAATTGTCGGACTATTAGTGCTTCTTCCAAGATTATTCTTAAATGATCCAACGGTCACTTACATCTCCACCGACTTTCACGTGTTCCCTACAATTCCCATATTCCATATTGTTGATGATGATAAAAAATGAAGTGTCACTTTTAGATCAATTTTTAAAAAATAATCGTGCTTATATTTGCTGGAATTCAGGTTTAATAAGGTGATGTAGAGAGATTTTCAATAGCTTGATTTTTCTTATTGGCCCTTCGCCCCTTTTTATAGGTTTTTAGACTAGAAATTGTCGTCCTGGTAACGTCAATCTATAGTGTTGATATAGACTTATGTGTCATCGTTTTTGTTGCGGAGATTTTATTGATTGGATAGTTCGATGATATATAAGTCGTAAGCCTCCACTTTAAGGTATCATACTTTTCTCTAAGAGCCCTATTACATGAACATGACCACGTATGCCTTGTTCAACAAGAATATTCCTCTCTAATTGGTTGTTGCGGGTGGTATTGTCACTCAAGTGGAACACTTTTTCAATCATGTAATGATTATGTTTCAGGATGACGTTTATCGTTAATCGATCTTCGGTGTTATCCTGTATGGTTTCGATGAAAAATGTGCATTTGATAAAGTCACGATGAACCCCAAATGATCCGACATGAATTTTCGAATCGGCACTACAATGTATTTATATATTAGCTCTAACTGTGACTTCTACTGATGGAATGGTTTTTTGTCATATTATATTACACGGTAAAGTATAGATGCCAACAAACCATTGTGCACTGTACTTATTCATTGAAGAGTGCGTTACAGAACAAGAAAATATTGTCTACAATTTCTTGCAACAAACCTGACGTGGCATATAGCTGTTGGCTTGGACGGTGGGACCCTCTTGGAATTAAAAAGGTATGGAAGCTCAGCCAAGTTGTAATATATGTAGGTATGGAAGCTTAGTCACAACATTTGAACACAAGTCACCTATGTAATCATTTATTCGGGTTTATCCATAATTTTTTAAATTTATTTTTCTTGGGACGTGAAAGAAAGAATTGCAAAGAATATTGTGAACCAAGAAGAACGATGAC